AACATAATATAACAAAATCACAAGGGAAATAAAAGCAGAGAAAAAAGGAAAGGTAGCTCATACATTGAACAGAGAAAACATTACGTAGTTGTTTCTTATACTCAAACTTTTAACAAAAAGCAATGGCTGTATATTAATTAATTATAAATTTCCTTTACTTTAAAAAGAATTAAATGATTTTTTGAACAATTGTCCAATTCATTATGTTATCTTTTGTATTTGTTGCACATGCATCAATAATTGAAGAGGCTAATTTAAAACTTCTAACTAATCAATCTATATTTGGTAAAATATTTTTTCTCCTACATAAATAAACATATCTCTTTATCTCTAGACAAAGGATATTGTATTTTGACTGGCTCTTTTTTTGTATTACCTTATATAAAAGTTTGACAATCAATATCAAATAAAGCATCATTAAACTTAACAATTTTAATAATTTCTGTAATCAATATTTTGACGAATGAGCATTCCTAAAATAGGTGTAACAATGTTTCATATTCTGATTTATAAAAAGTACACAAACTTGTAACTGATAAATTCATTTTCAAAAGAAGATAACTAGTAGCTAATATTCTATGTGTTAGTCTTGTCTGAAACCATTGCAAGTAAGAATCATTGGTAATGTCAAAAACCCAACTATGTATTTTATTCCAGTCAGATTGAATAAAAAATCTTGTTTTTCTGTCGAGATTCGGAATCAAGTATTGACTTGCTGTATTGATCCATAATGCTTGAACAGGCTCAATCAAACCGAGCCTGCAACATTTTCAATTTTGTCGCGTTGGATTTTCTTTAGGGATTCTGTTTTTCTCTATTTTCGGTGTCACTTCCGGAATCGGCGCCTGATAATGTTTCTGATAACGCTGTGAACTTGTTAATCGCAAACATGTGATGTTTTAGACCTTGTGCATGCAATGCACTCTGGTGCGTTGTAATTGTTTCTACTTTTGCGAAATTTGCACAACATAACGCCATTGTTGGCTTTGTTTATTAGATTAAGATCCTATATCAATACATTTTGAATTGATACTGGACCGTCCTTCCTCGTAATTAGACCAGATGCGTGACATTGCTTGGATAATTTCGTTGGGATAATCTCTGTTTGTGTAAAATTTAGATTTGCCTTTTTGTCCTATAAATGTACTCTACAATTCAGTAATTTTTGAAACATGCTGTACTTGATCGTTTCTGGTTATCAAAACATGCTTAAGATATATATCTGACCTATGATATAAATTTTTCAGTTCCTTATAGTGCCCGTTAGGGTGATAATACCAGTTGATATAATTATCCATACAATATCCAGGACAAGAAAAAACATGTAAGTTTATGTAAGCTAAATGAGCCAACATTTTCAATAAAATACAAAGAATATATTTAACTTTCATAGAATAAAGCTTTAAGATTTATTTCTGACAGACTCTAAATGCATGGTAAATCGCCATTATGTTAATTTTAGTTTAGTTTTACAGTTCTGACAGAAGAATATAGTCGGAAACTACAATTTACAAAGATGTTAGTTAATCGTAAAATTGTTTCTTATTATTATTTTGTTCATAGAAAGAGTCACAGCAAGGACGAACATGTCTGGATGTAGGGGAAACATAAGTGAAACGTTTAATTGAAAAAGGGCATTTTATATAAATTGCCATAAAATTTTATTAAATTCCATAGAGCATAAGCATAAAGTTTCCTGTAAAACATATCTGGATGGTAAACCTCCCTTCAAATACATGTACATATATTATAATCATCAGATCAATGATAAGACTATCACACAATTGTAGTAAATTGTAGTGTTTATGGGCATAATTCATTGTTAATACATTAAAAACGTCGTCACATTCAATAGCAACAGTTCTATTTTAAGCAGTTCCATTGAGTAATACTATACCGTAAACGTATAATATTCTTAATATTTAAAAATGGAAAATATTAATGAAATAATGGTGCATGATTCTGGCAGAAATTGGGAGAAACAACATTCAATATTCACCATTTATGCATTGTGCAATATCTCACAATTTGAAAGTGAATTTCAAAGTTTTTCAAAAAGCTATTTATCAAAAATTATAAAAAGTATAATAAAGATGCATACTTCGTGTGTTCTCACTTTTCATTCAAAAGTGTTTTGGAAATAAATTAAAATATTTAACAATACGATTATGTCAACCTCTTATTAAACGATAAATAAAAAAATATAAAAAATAATCAAGACAACAATGTGAAATATATATTTCAAAGAACTTTAATAATTCATTGAATATCGATCTTTTTAATATTTACAATTTACAAAAGTCGCATTTGCATATGTTGAAAAATAAACATGCACTTTGAGCGCTATTTCATATCAAATAATAAAGCACATTTACTCTTTTATTGAACACTTTTTATTGAAATATGAAATTCAAATATTATTCAGGTACACATTAAAATACAATTTCTATGTTTCGTTTGAACATTGGCTTCCTTTGTGTAAGGGAAACATTCAGATTGGAAATCGATATTGTAAAATGCATTCTATACCTTTAGATAATTGCTTCTAATTTGCAGGTGCGATCGTTCAAAAATTAAAAATAAAAATGTATATAAAATCTCTTTACTTTTCATTATTTTTTCTTCACTGTTTCAGACACGTAAGAAATAATCAGTTAAACTGTGGAGAGTCTCAATTAAAGCAAAAACTCATTAAGAAAGATTGAGTTTTGCTTTAAAAAAAATCAAGTACTTGTCATAATGCTTTATTTTGGTGCATTGTGACCATATCACCTGACAAATTTGATCAACAACGCTAATACAATGCTGGAATAATTTTATCTAGGTATCTTTGCTTTAATATTAAACTGTTACACCCACAAAGTCTTTTTTTAATTATTGGCGTCACTATCACTGTAAAAATGGAGCTTATTATCCTTTCTTTTTGTGACAATACCGTGACATACCTTGGTTCTCATTAGGTCATAGTCATTTGCCAATGAATATTACTCTTTCCTAAGTAAACATTTGTCAGTGAACACCAATCGTAAAGATATGTTTATTATATTGTAAACATTACTCATTTAAAAGTGACTTATACTCAGTAATGTTTACAAATATGTGAAAAAAACAAATAAACAGAAGAGGATTACTCAAACAAATATGTTGTGTTGGTAGCATCAATATCTGGTTTTTTATTAATTGAGAAAATGAGAGTTTTTTTTGTTTTTGTTTTATTTTTGTTTGTTTTATGCTTTTGTTTGTTTGTTTGGATTTTTACGGCACGCCAACACATAACTGGCCATATCGTGTCGAATGTTATAATAGGCTTAAAATGTTATGTTAAACTTTGTAAATGACAATGAAAATGAGCCAATTAGATCCGAGAATACAAGTTTATCTCATCAAATAATCAATGATTTTTTTATGGAATTGTATTGAAGAGTTCTTTTAGTGAATTTACACAATAAAATCTATTACGGGCTTGTGAAAAATCATGACATTCAAGAAGAAAATACTTGACAGTAAAATTTTAATTACAAGCTACACAGAAAAGGGCATTGTCATTCGTGACGAGATAAGAGTGGGTAATTTTAGTGTGTCCAATTCGGCATCGAAGAAGAACTGTTTGATCATGGCGGTTTGTCAGAGATAGAGATGGTGACACATCAAAAGATGGGTTTATATCGTGAAGTTTATTGAAAACGGCATTGTCCCAATTAGCTTTCCATTCAGATGATACGAGTTTATTTATAGCCGGTCTAAAATCACAAGCAGGTAACAATAAGTCAGTTTTTTTTTAATTTAATAATTGTTTAGCTAAAGCATCTACTTTTTCATTTCCTCGTATACCTACATGACTTGGAATCCAATATAATTAAACAGATTTTGTTTAAAGTATATCATGAAATCGTAAAAGAACTTTCTTTATCATGATATTGTCAGACTTTTTATTTTTAATGGATATTAAAACACAAAGCGGGTCAGAAAATATCACAAATTTATCATGGGTAAGCTTTATTATCACTACTATGTATGACAATGCTAATTCTGTAGCTTTTGCTTCAGCAGTAAAATTTGACGCATTATCTAGTAACCTCATACTAGATGTAAAATTATTTTCAAACACAGCCGCACCTAATATGCAACCTTCTTTTGAACCGTCCGTATAAATATGTGTAAAATCTTCATGTTCTTCCTTAATTGCTGGAAACTTCTCTTTGAAATGTTCAGGTGAATTTGATGACTTTTTTATATTTGAAAAGTTAATATTTATTTTATGGGAATTATATCGTAAGTCCATGGTGGAAAAATCCTCATCGTCATTTTGAAGGATACTGTCTGGATTAATTTTAAGTTTATCTAAATCGTCTTTTAAACGAAGGCCTAATGGTTTAATTTCCTTTGGTTTGTTAACAAATTTTTCAGTACAACTTGGTTTTAAAATTATTGCTATTAGATGGAATTCTAGTTGCATATTGAAGTGATATCTTTTTTCGACATAGATGAAGCGATGGTTCCCCAGCTTCCGCATAAAGACTTTATACAGGTGTGGCGCGAAAAGCACCTAAAGCTAAACGTAAACCCTGGTGATGTACAGTATCTAGCATTTGAAGAAATAATTTTCTTGCAACCCATATACTACAGAACCATAATCTAACTTTGATCGGATAAGACTTCTGTATAATTTCAGTAATGTGGAAGAATTTGATCCCAAATTTGTACTTGATAAAACCTTAAGTAAATTTAAAGCTTTCAGGCATTTAGTTTTCAAATGTTTAATATGTGGATAAAAAAAAAAGTTTTTTATCAAATATAATTCCTAACAACTTAGCTTCATCAACTACTGGAATTTTAGAACCAGATATGTTTTATGCCTGTCATTTGTAGGTAGAATAATCTCAAAATCTCAATTAGCAGCAAATGCATGTTAGGTAATCATTATCTACGTCCGAACCTGTGCATTCACTATTGTATTAGTCAAGGTAAAGTATATCATGTTTCATGATTGTATTTTAACATGTATATATTTATAATGAGAGATTTCATAATTTAGAATGCAGTTTAACAAAGAGAGATTTATACATAATCATTTGTTACATGAAAAATAAAAATAAATGAAAACAGAATAACGGAATTAAACTACCAAAGCGACATCACCTAACAAAATTTTAACAGGTATTTAACTTTCAGTAGTACTGATGAATTAAAAAAAATATGTCAGTATACTAATTGAACATAACACGCAAGATAAAATAAGTTTTGATATGATAATATAAGTTAATGCTATCACACACGTACGAATATTTCTTCACAGTAATTAATACTAAATACATTCTTAATTTTGCAAGTTACCTTTTCCTTATGCACTTATTCCTTTTACTGTTTAATTTGAGGTTTTCAAGCAAATTCGGGGGAGTTACATTTTTCAATTTCAATTCAATTCAAAACTATATTGTCAGAGTCACAGTTTACAATATGTAAAAAACATGTGAACATATACAATCATCAAGTTAGAAGCAGTAGTACACGTAACAAAAAAGAATCTTGTCAAAAACATTTTACATATTAATGATCAAGGTATGGAGGGGAAGTGATTGCACTACATTTTTTTACTATTTAAAAGCTTCGTAATTAAATGTAACGTGCTCCTTGAAGCTATAACGGTAAAAGTTTGTTGGTACCAGGCGATAAACTTGGAGAACCCCACAATTGCCGAATTCCGGATAACATCTAGATTTATGTTTGATTTGATACGTGTACTTGAACAATCTGATAGAAAAGAAAAACGATTTTCTGAAGTAAGCTTTTGCGTCTCATGTCACTTCTTTTAATTAAAATCATTTCTTTACCTACTTTTTAATCAATGTAATTATAAGTTACAATACCTACAACTGAATAAGAATGTTTTTGTTTACTATTGGTTAAAAGAGTCGTAATAATGAAATTAAAGGACAGGATTCTCTAAGAATAAAATTGTCACAAAATTGTGTTTACTGTAAAGAATATGACATTATATGTCAAACCAGCACAAACAGGCATACAGTGCGTTAATGGAAAAAAGGTTTTCGAATATCAATTTATCGCACGGTAACTATTCCGTGCGGGGTAATAAAAAGAACCACATTACTAAATTAATGTGTTTGATATTCAATTAACACCATTATGATACAAATGAACTTGTAAAAAATGTTAGAATTAGTATAACAAGGGGTCTGTTTGGGAGAAGTTAATTATTCGCTTATATGACTGACTAAAGCCCAATAAAAAGAACATTTTAAAACTCCGAATTATTGACAATTTTATGCATTAACATTGCAATATTAACAAAAATACAACACAATTTTTATTTAATAAAGTTAGTACTTTAAAATCCTTCATCCTATTGAAGGTCGTTTACAATACAATGGGTACAATAGGCAGCAAAGTTAATGTAATAGCTACGACAATCAATCAATAAATAGCAAAGAAAAATATGGCGAAATATGAAATATATGAAATATATCGGACGTGAATGATTTTTGATGTAATCAACATTAGCCCTTCTCTGAATGGTTTTCTTTCTGGCTGTGGGTTTGAGGACAATTCCATGTGAAATATACTTAAGTAAGCCCTAAACAATGTGAAAGGAGGAGTGAAACTTTAACAACTGTGTGCATTAATAGACAAATGTTTAAATGACAATCATTAATATCTGTCAGTTCAAAATGACCAAAATGTTCGGGTTTGTATTCATTTTCTCCATGGGATTAAAAACAAAACGACTCCTCCACAAGAAAGCGGTAATTAATTTTATGAAGAAGAAACGTTGACCTAGTTCTTGCTTTGAATTTAACAATGTCATGTCGGAATAGTTACGCAGGGCTACTACATTCATTCTACACATGCGCACTTCGTAGCAAACTCTTAATTACCGTTATTAAGTGTTCGGCTAAATAAATAAGTGTTCATACGATTAAGAAAGTCATTTTTTTGAAAATCGGAGTAATTGGTCGGCATATGATGTTGAACACTTACGGTCGTTTCTTTTGGGGTTTCATAACTGTTTAAAACTTCATCACTGAATAGATATTATTATATACAGAGCAACTAAAGCAAAAGTTTACTTACGTGGCATTCACAGCATTAAATAAGAAACTAATTAATAAACAAATCAGTAATGTAGCTATCATATCAATAAGCAAAAGGTTACCTATGACAAATTATATTAACTCCAATCGATCTAATGCTTAATATTAAATGGCCAAAACATTTTTTTCAAATGATGAAATAATGATAAAAAGAAATTTGAGACTAATGATTGATAAGAAAAATAAATAAGATATACTACTTTTGCATTTTTCGCAATCGATAGCATTGTGCACGAAGGGCACCAAAGAGTTATTATAAATAATTAGAAATAAAAAAAAAACATTTGAGAAATATAATTACAAAACTGAACGTAACAATGTAATTGTGCATAAATAATCTTCTAAACAAAGCATATATTTTGTGACTTGTCAATCGCACAGCGATCACATTGAAAGGAAGTATAATTAATAGGTGTAATTAATAGGTGAACTCTACAAAAGGTTATCATTAAGTTATTTGGAAGGCACATTATGCTTATAAACCTGACAGCTACGGTACAATTAAACAAAGAAATACCTTATCGAAGTTAATCTTACCGCTTTATGTTTTTTTCTGCGCTTTTATTCAAAAGGTATATCAGTATAATAACTTACGTAGAAGTGGTAATTTAATCATTCTGCAGAAGTTAATTTTTTATTCATGTTTAATCTAGCCACATTCAGTCCAGGAAGTTGAAATTTATTTTACTGGTTTGTAGCTTCTTTTTTTAAAATCTGTTATAGGTACAGTAACATTTTATTTTATTTCAATCTGATGCGTAAGTATGTCACAAAAGCTAAAAATAGACTATGAAAATAAAATCTTTGAAAGTCAGCTTCTCCGAAACTACAATATGTTTGGCTTGTATCATTGCCACGTGATCTTCCACTAAGCACATGGAGTCACTTAATTAATATAAATTTATGTAAGAAAACACATTTGAATCTTCTTTTGGATAAACATATCTTAGATATTTAGAATAAAGCATTGCAAAATGAATTTCTGAAGCAGTCCTTATCGAAATCGTAGAACGCTAAAAAGATGTTTTAATACTTTATTTAGGAAATAGATATCAATTCTGAGTGCATTGTTGTAGAATAATGCACGGTTTGAGTTCAAATGCGTAGTAATATAATCACGAAGGCTGATAGGCCTGAGTGATTAATTACAAAGCATTTTAACGAAAACCGTGCATTATTATACAATAATGCACGAAGAATTAATATCTATTTCCATTCTAACACGTCAAGAAAAAATATAATTATTATTTCAAAGTTGGACTTTATGTTTGGTGGTTTAATTTGTTTTTCGTCTCAGAGTTTCCAATAGAAACGTTCTTTAAAGGGGCTGTTCCAGTGGGTTGAAAAAAACTGTCGTTAAATCTACCGTGTGTAGAAACATTTTGAGAAAAACGAATTTTGAAAACGTTGATAAAACTTTGTTTGTTTATTTTTTTTCACTCTATAATTTTTCAAGCGAAAATACAAATTATTAAAAGGGAATAAATGTAAAACTTAACTCGTTTGTGACATTAAAATAGCGTACTTGATTTGATTGTTTTGCACGTGCTGTTTGGCGCTACATTGTGACGTCACGTAAAACAAACACTTTAAACGCTTGTACAACGTTAACGACTGAATTAAAGAGATATTGGTGTTCGGATTAATTTTCTTAGTTAGACCATTTTCTTTCATTCTAGATAGTTTTCAGAACAAAATTCGACAAAAATTTGTTTTTATTTATCAGATTTTTTTTAAACAAAATGGCGCCCTCAATGTGAAAATACACAGGGAGATAATAAGAACGGCGATTGCATTGTTGTAGAATAATGCACGCTTCCGGCCTTCTTTGTCTATATAGGAAAATTTCCGATAGTGTTAGAATTGTTTTTACTTCAGTTTGGTGATTTTTAACCAGAGCTAAATCATCTGAAGAACGACAAAACGAACAATGGATCAAAATCAAGCCCAACACGATACAGGTGTCAATGCAGAAAAAGAATCTACAAAGGGAAAGGTATATATATGCTAATTAGCTAGCCAATCTGGTTTTACCTCCACTGAGGTTTTTTCACATGACTGAATTGGGTGCTATTTAACTTAATTTGATGTGGGTCCTGATCAATAACTTTTGACCAAAATTTCAGATAATTCGCTTAGTTCGTTTTCAATCATTTAAATAGTAAAACAATATCACAAAAATGAGACGCATTTAACTTAAACTCAAATCGGATTAAGAATAGCACAAGTAAATGATTTTCACTTTTATTCTGAGTATCAATCGTTATTTTTTCAATTTTTTTTCCATTCTAAGTGACCCAGTCGGTCCTTGGAACAGATTCAAATTTTTTTAAACTTTAAGCTTCTTGACCTCAGTTGTGTATCGTTTCTGAACAGTTTTCGATATGAAATTATTTGTAGGAATTCTAAGGAATATGTATATTATATACATGTATATGCAAATTAACATTTAAAAATGAAGGATATTGTGAACGAAATGCAACATCCTAAACGTTTACACTTTACTTGTTGTGTGCCCGAGTGATTGTATGTATGTATCGATCTGTTTTTTGAAAGAGTGGAGTTAGTGTGTGTGTGTGTGTGTGTGCGTGTGTGCGTGTGTGTGTGCGTGCGTGTGCGTGCGTGTATGCGTGCGTGCGCGCGTGCGTGCGCGTATGCATGCGTGCGTGTGCGTTTAAATTATGTACTGACTGCATGATAGATTCAATTTATTTTGCACAAGAATGTTGTTACCTTTATAACTTGTTGCTTTCATTCAATTATCAACTGCTTTCGCATAGATATTCAACGATCCTATTCATGGAACCATAGAAATGCATCCGGCATGTATAAGTATCATAGACACGCCTCAGTTTCAGCGCCTAAGACACATTAAACAACTAGACACCTGTTACCTGGTTTATCCAGGTGCCAGTCATAATAGGTTTGAGCACTCTATAGGGTAGGTAAACTCATCAACATATTTTATAAAACATTTATTAATTCGTTTTATTGATTAGTCAAATAAGTTAAGTTTAAACATATTTAATTGCATCAAATACATTTAAAATAGTATACAAATGATAAGTGTATAATACAAAGCCAATAGGTCGGGCAACACGTTATAGCAACATTTGGTTCAGCCCTTCCCGGGTCAAATATGTATAACCCTTAACACAAATTGAAAAAAAACTTATATACTCTATATTCGTATCTTCATTTGGAAAATATCGTAACCATTCTTTGAGCGAATAGGCAATAATACTTTTAGTTTAGACACGCAATTGTAAATTATGACGACATCGATAAAAATAATTGAACAAATAAATAGAGATCAAAGACAAACAAAGAAGTTCTATGTAAAATATCTATATCTTTAAATAATATAATCTGATGAGCTTAGAATATTATTGTTTAACGATACAATTCTGAACATAAAAATGTTTGAAAAAATAAAATCAAATAACTCGTATGTAACTAATATATACAAATGTATGTTTGTTACAGAGTCAGCTATCTGGCAGGAAAATTATTGAGATCTATCCGTCAACACCAGCCAAATGAACCGATTACAGATAGGGATATTCTATGTGTGGAAATAGCTGGACTCTGTCATGATTTGGGTAGGGCTAAGATATTGTTTTTAAAGTTAACGTAAAGCATTGAAGCAAAGCGTACTTTTCGATGTCGCCATTGAGCGACCCAATGAACCCGAGCTTTCTCCTATTGTATTATACTTTAAAAGGAAATAAGGAGATCTGTCTGTCTGTCTGCCAAGAATCTGCTGAATTGTATACTCACATCAGTTAATTTTCAAACTGTTTGGCAGCTGTTAAATATAACCATGTTATCATAATGTAATTATCTCTTTCCTTTTTGCCGGTCTTTTAGAGTCATTGGCGCCAATGCTTATAATGTATGTTTTAATTTTAAATCCTTGAGAAAGAAACTTAACAATTATTGCTTTACTGGTTGGTTCCAGAAACAGATTTTAGAGTGTTTCAATAATTTATAGCTTTCAACACAACCGAAATAAAATAAATTATTAATAAACTAAACTAAGCTAATGCTTACTTTCCTTATAGTGTCGGTCCACTTTGATTTTCACTCTATATACCCTAAAGCATCAGTCATATTTGGACTACATTCTGTATTTCACAATCCTTGATAGGAAACCTTCTGTCTAAACTTTTTTATACGACCGGCGACTAAAATACATAAAGTCAGGTTTCTTTTTTTATATATCTTATGTTGTTTTGTTTTGGGTTTTAACGGTCAACATCGTTCACAGTAAAGTCATATGATCGCGACGTTCCGTTTACGGTACTGGTGGTGGAGGAAGAACGATCATCGGATGCCTTCCTCAAATTATTTTAGGCACAAACGGGCACCTGAGTAGAACCACCGGCGTTCCGTCAGCTAGCTGGACTTTTTATATGTTTTGCCACTGTTGAAATTGTCCAGTTCAAACAGTCTTCTCTGTTAGCGCAAAGTTCAGCCATTATTTACAAAGGAACTCTTCAATTAGCTCCACTCAAGTCCAAAAGCCTACAAACAAAAAATGAAATTTTTGCATAAAACGAACAAAAAAAATATATATAAATTATATTAAAAGAAATACTGAACTACAGAATTGAACCTTGAAAAAACATACGATTTTATTGCGGTTCTTAGCCTGCTTCGAGTAACCGCTTTTCATTTATTTGGTACTTGCACGTAAAACAATATGCGATGAAATCTGAAATTACAATTACCCCATCATGGTACAACAAAATTAGAAAAAATTTAAGTCAAAAAAAAAATATTGGAGTCACTTTTTATCCATCAAGTAACACAAACAACACAAACTAGTTCTTGAAAATTGAAGATGAAAAATCTTAGTCTTCAACGGGAACATTATTTCGTTTTATTTCGTCAACTTTTACGCAATTAAAATATTATTATCTTAGAAATTCAAATTGAATTATTATTATTATTAGTATTATTATTTTAGGCAGAGGACCATTTTCCTACGTGTTTGAAAAAATGTTTATGAAAGAGAAAAGGGCAAATTATAAGGTACTGAACTATATTTTTTTACATTTTTCCTCTTATTTTTGAAAAGGTAAAATAAGTCCTCATTGCATTAATTTCCAAACGCTTCTGTTTTGGACATTTCCTTGTTTTTATTTATTTATTTGTTATTTATTTATTCTTTTTTTGCTTGGTTTATTGTTGTTTTAAATCTGAAGAAAAATAATTTAGCAATTTCTTATAGATCTTACACGATCATGACCTTTTGTTAACCAACATAACATCAAGTTGATGATTTGGATTACTCATATTAACTTTGGGAAAGCAGACAAGGATTTCCAAAAGCATATTTAAGTAATCTGTTAGATTTGTATATAAAATAATTCTTCTAATACAAAACTAAAAAAGAAAAATAATTAAACCCATGTTTTTCATCAAAGCATCGGAATACAGCAAAGAAAATGTTTGAATACATGTTGTCTGCTGATGATTTTGCATTGAAAAAGAAAATTCAGGAGGATATTGCTAGCTGTAATACACCAGAATTCACACATTTCGATGAAAAAGATTTTATTTTCATCACAGAAATGATTGATCAACCCAAAGACATCGTGAGACAGGTATAAAGGACGTACAGTTGAATGTTTATAATATCAATTTGAACTTTCTTTCTGATTAAAACTTCTATAAATTCAAAACACATTTTTCCGTTGGTGTTGTATTTATTTTTTGCTCGCTTTAATTGTTTAGTTAATAAGCTTTTCAAAAGCTGTCCAACACATTTCATAAAAAATTTGGTGTTGGCACACAGTCAGAGTTACGATCATAATTTTTTGTTGGTTTTTGTTTTGTTGTTGTTTTTTTTTTTGTTGTTGTTTTTGTTTTTTTTTGTGTTTTTTTTTAATTTAAGGAATTGTTCAAAACTCTTATATTATTTCTGAAATGCCATTGTTCAATTTCAGCCTTGGCCACACAAAGGAAGAGATGAAAGTAAAAGTTACATGTACGAGGTATATAGTATTATAATCGAGATCAAGAAATCAATGAATTACGTTATTCAATCCAAGAAATAAATAAAGTTGCAAAAACATTCATAGTGTAATAATTTAGAAACAATTTATTGAATAACATAACAGTTCAGTTCAATTTATATGCAATCAGCAATAAGTTTGCGTTTGGCCATTTTACAATATTTTTCTGTTGTCACATATGAAACATGTACTAAATACAAAATGCAATCAACGTAATAATGCTTGGTATAACATACACTTCCAAGTATGGACTAATTGACGTTCAAAGCATTTCATCATTGTTCTTTAACGATTTAATGCGCATGTTTTGAATACGGCAATCAGCTTACTTCACTTAACCTATAGTCGCGTTGCGCGACTTTTAAGGTTCCATTTTGTTTGGCTATTTTAGACCATGTCAGAATACACATGCAAAAATTCATTTCTATGTAGATTGTTGCCAATAAAAGGAACGGAATTGATGTAGACAAGTGGGACTATCTGGCACGTGATAGCTACATGCTGGGAGTCAAAACAAATTTTGATTACAATCGATGTTTCGCTACTGCACGAGTTCTGGTAAGCAACGGTTTAAACGGAGATGACGAAACTGGAGACAATGAAAGTCGTGAAGGTAGCAACGCGTCACAAAGAGGTGAAGTTTTACCCATTGTACCAAGAAAACAGATATGTTACAGGGAAAAGGTGAGGCACCTGTTTTGTTTTTTGGTACCATATATGTAATACAAGCCAAATGAAATATTAAAAAGCCTTTACTATTTACAAAACTGTTAATTAACAAGTTTTTTTAAGATGCAAAATCTCAATTGTTACATTGTTACAGATAATAGGAGACAGCTGTACAGCAAACCTAAGATATGTCTGCTGAACCTTTTTGTATCTGAAATGTTGCACCTATGTGCTACATGTATCGGCAGCAAGAGGTTGCGTCTATATTCTCATTCCACTATTTAATCATTTAAAAACATAAATTATGACATTAACATGATAAGAAATAACTTGCTTCTTTTCAGGAAGCACAGGGTCTGTACGATATGTTTTACACAAAGATGGTGTTGACAAGACAAGCATACCAACATAAAACACATACAGTCATAAGAACGATGTACGTATATGTCACAGGGCGAGAACATTGTGCAGCCTTACAGGGACTCTGACCCAGGGCCCTCGGAATACCGCTCTACCAAATGAGCTATCCGGACGCTTACACATCTTCACCCCTAAATATTGAAGAGTTCTGAACCTTGACGTACTCCCCCCGCAAATTGACATTCGTCCTCGAATTTCTCAGGGTAACAGAGAAATGTAAATTAAACACTGATACGAACACCTCATTGGGCGCAAAATATCACGGTGGAGATAGTGTGTAAGCGGCAGGAAAACTCAGTCATTAGAGCCGCAGTACGCTATTCCGAGGGCCCGGGTTCTAGTCTCGGTCAGGCTGCACATTTTTCTCACCCTGAAACATATATATACGGAATTATTTCATTATTTTTAAAACACTTTTCAGGATTTCGTAAAAGTACTGTATGTATTACTGTAACAAGATACAAGAAACTTTATTTAACAGTCGTTCTTAAAAGAATATTATTATTTTGGTTGATAACATTAGCTTCAATGCATAAAAATATATAACATATAGAAGTAATTCATTGATATGAAAGGTTTTTACCTCTCTATCTTGAAAAAATTCTAGATGAGCACATGATGTTCTAAAAGCCTTCCTTTTGTTTACATTTTACATTTACGAAATAAATGTATAAATACGTTTCCGAATTAATGAAAGAATGGTTTATATAAGAGTATATGTAGATTAAATGAAAGATTTTCGGTTTTGAACTACTTTTGTACTTCTTGGCATCTATATAGTTTTGAGCATCATGTCATTAATTTCTACACAATAACCTGCAGTTCGTTTACAGGATACTCGATGTTTTGAAAAAGGCAGACGAAAGTATTAAATTTAATGGCAAAAGGTAAGTGAATTATTATGAAAGTGCATCGTTCATTGCAGGTTAGGTACGTACTGTGGTACTTATTCTTCCAATTCCAAAATAACATGTGATGTTCCTCAGGGCTCAATCCTTGGACCCCTTCTCTTTTTAATTTATGTAAATGATATGTCAGCTGTGGTCAGTAATAAATTGCTTTTGTATGCTGATGATTCTGGTATCCTTGTATCTGGTAATGTGTCTGTGTCTGGTGTCATGTGTTTATCTGTTGTTGAAAAGGCATTGACAGATGATATGGAATTGGTCAGCCAATGGTTAGTGGACAATAAGTTGTCATTTCACTTGGGTAAAACCGAGTCAATTTTATTTCGGTTTAGGCAAAAGCTTAGGTCACAATCTAACCTGCATATAACCTGTTCTGGTATATCCATTGAATCAACTTCATCTATCAAGTATCTTGGGATTACTATAGACCAAAATCTGTCATTTTGCTCCATTGCCGAGTCTGTTCTTAGCATACCAAGAAACTTCTGGTTATGTCTCTTATTCAGTGTCACTATGATTACGCATGCTCTGTTTGGTATAATAGCTTGACACAGTCTTTAAAAAATAAGTTACAAACTTGTCAAGATTTGTACTTGACTTGGATTCCAGAGCCCATAAGTCCCTTAACTGGTTACCGGTCCACAGAAGAGTTGAACAGATATGTTGTGTCATGTTTTTAAGATAAAAAAATGGCCTGTCTCCGGATTACATGTCTGAACACTTTATTTCGCAAGATTCCGTACATATTTATAGTACAAGACTTAGTCAAAAGGGTGGGTATTGTCTACCTTAGGTCAAAGGTCAGGGTTCTAAATCCTTTGCTTTCTCTGGTATTAAATTATTGAATGATTTACCTGTAGAGTTAACGGAGATCAACAGGTTACAAAGTTTTAATGTTGCCATCAAATGTCATCTTATGAACAGTATTTAATTTTTTTACTTTGTTTTTACATATTTCGGCTCAGGATTTTAAATTGTCTGCTAATTATGTTTTTACAATTTTAGTAATGTTTTTTAAATTCTAGCTGTAAACAGGTGTATCATTAACTCAAGATTTGACTGTGATATACATTTTTATGATTTATTAGTATTTTTAAACATGATTATATTTAGGTCTGCCTCTCTATGTCATGCCGCCAATACAAAGGGCCACAATGGAAATAAGAGCTTTTTTGCCCTTTTTTGTGTTATCCTTGGTTTTGGTGAGCATGTCATAGTTTTCTCGTATGTGATATAGTATTTAATAATGCTCATTATTTTATCCTATGTTATGTTGTCAACTATGTATATGCTTCCTTTGCCGAAATAAATCTATCTATCTAAGTCTGTCCAGTTTGATTTTTGCTATTAATAAAATATGTAGAATGTTAATACGTCTTATCTGTAAGACAAACTTTATTTATAGTGGTTATGGTTAGCATTACAAAACATAAGCTTTAATCTTGTATTCGACATGAACAAATAATAAAACTAATAATAAGAAACAAACAAAAAACAAACAAACAACTGTTCAGATAATAATACATTTAATCAATTCATATTGCCATTGTACCAAATGTCTGTGTTTGTGGAACTTAATCCAAATAATGTCATTACGGTTTTTGAAAAAGCGATTTCTTAGTTGCTTTATTTTATAGATTAATTTTCTCAATTTACCATCTTGTGATCTTAATTTATGTTCTTTTTTGAGCATGTTCATCTACAACTTCTTTGTCTTTGAAAGGTGTTTCAAACGCCCATTATGAATCGTTCAGTGTTGAAAGCAGATTCATTAAAACGTTTTTATGATCTAAATTCAACAAATTTCGGTTTTGTTTGACATTTTGTTTGCATTTTTATTGTAGTAGCTACTAAATTGTGACAGTCAGTAATATCAACATCTAAATTTTCTTTGTTGCAAATTAAATTTGATCTGTTAGTTCGTATCGATTTATTCAGGGAATAGACATAAACACATACAATGTTATCACATATATCAACTTGCGTATATATAAAAACACACACATAAATGCAACAAAAATAATTATAAGATTAATCAATGAGTATGTTCTATGTTACCCTAGGAATTGCCCATTAAGCTAAAAGCTTATTTCCAATTGGGTCCATTTACTGTAAAATTATTACACTAACTTACATAATAATAAATGAATTATAAAGAAGTTAAAATAAATGACAATTTTCAACAATCAAGACACATTTTTCAATATAATAAGACAAGTACACAAACAAAATGAAATAAATTTCGTTTAAACTAAAAAATATCAAGTACAACATAAACATGTTACAAAACCTTATCATAAGTTACACATCAATTTAATAATAAATAAACATAACATTCACTTGTTTATCATTTTCATTACTTAAAAAAGTTTTACTTTCGTTTTAGATGTTTGGATATTGTCAATTGATCTAATGTTGTCTGGTAAAGAATTCCAGTCTTTTATGGCATTGTAGAAAATGTGTTTTTAACATGAGAATCATTTTGAGGCAAAACAAAATTAAAATTACTAGATCTTAAATGTTAGAATAACATCTGTAGTAGATGCAAAACGTAACAAAATATAAGCATATCTTCAATAACTATATTAAGTGCGTTGTTGTTAATAGTTTATTAATAAACAAGAAATAGCAATTAGCACATGTAAGTTTATTTTGTTTTATTTTCTATTAGATCTATTTTTAATTAAAAAAGAAGCATGATTATAGAACCCAAAAGTTCACGTGTTTTATACATATTATGGCGAACAAAGTCGATTTACTGCCGTATTTCAGATAAATAGGAAAAGTAGATTGACATATTATTATTTCAAAACTTTCAATGGTAAGTGATACTGTTAAAACAGTTATCCATTACACACGATTTATTATTGTGTAAAGTATAGCGAGGTCACATGTGTGTTTTTTTATTAAGGTTATATTTGGTAACGGAAACTGGGGTCTAATGCATTCAATGTCTTATTGAAGATTATTAAAAGCGGCTATTAAAGATCCTTAAGCAATAACGTCCGCACAACACTATCCCAATTATTTCAAAAAATACAAAACCTTAAAAAAGTTATTTGATTTTTTTCATAACGAGCTTGTTTTAAAGTTTCTAAAGGTTAATAATATATGGATAGACAGAACAAATCAAATGTTAATGACAATGCAATACAAGAGCCAGTCCTTACACCGACGTGTTTTGTATATTGCAAAACAGAGGCCCGTTAGAATGAGACAACGTGCTTTAGCCTGGTTTGTTCTATGAATTAAGTATCGGTAAACTTCCATCATTATATGAAATCAGATAGTTGTGAAGGGGCATGACGTGACGTGGTTGCTCATTTGTTTCAAGCGAGCGAAATGGTTGCAGGCTACCGAGTTCTATAAATTTATAACGACCGCCCATTATTTCTTCAGGTAAGTTGGTTTGTAGGGTTTTTTGATATGCCTATATATTAAGACAATCTTGTTTATACTTCTTAGAATTTCAGAAACAGTTGATGATCCTGAAGCATTTACACAACTGACGGACGATATAATTTTGCTCATTTTATATCCACCAACTGGCTTTGTAATGAGGAGTCCATACCAGACTGAGTGGGCTGATGAACATGGTGTTGTAGCCAGGGTGGAAGAAATTCGTGCAGAAGAGAGGATTAAAAAAGATCTGCAAGAAGCAAAGAAAGTTATGACTGATATACTGAAAAGAAAGCTATATAAATTTGTTGGCCAAACTCAGATAAAGGTAGAAATATCTTGTTCAATCATAGAAATCTTAAAATATACAAGCTGATTCAGTAAATACGAGAGGTGTTCATTTAATTATGAAACAGTTCTAAAACCTACTTCACTATTTACTTGCATGTGTTTTATTGCAACAGATGCTCAATCTATGATCGATCCATGACATTAGTAAATCATTCAACACCTTTTAAGCCAGCTTTCTAAAGTACCGTTTATGCCTTTTTAAGACCGGACATGATATAAATCTTGCGTTCCTGTAACCTACTTTCAAGTCGATGGGAGCATTTGGGCTTTTTGACATCCATCTGCAGGTGTTATGTTATTCATTTTCATTTATTTATTCATTTTGCGTTTGTTGAGAAAGTTGATGATCATTTTAGTGTTATGGCTAGAGGCCGAGTCTTGATGGAATACCATGTCATTCTCTCTTCCAGGGGAAATCTTTTTTGAGAAATGACTTTAGAACTTTGTATGTGAAATATTTTGCATTGACTTCTACCCTTTTTTTGATAAAAATTAGAGATGTCTTGCCTTAGTAACTAACCCCGGCATAAACCAAGCCCGGCCTAAACCATTAACCTAGATGCAAATGCATCTCGTTTTTCAAACTTAGGTTAGTTCAGGTCTGTCTCATTAGTTCGAACGCAGCAAACAAGACGTCGACCGTAACTACCGCCCATGTAAAACAGTGTTTTTCCATTTTCCACAGTTCAGACGGACTATGACCGCACAGTTTCGCTTCTAGAATTCAGCTATAACTCTGTTGACAGTGCTTAGAGACACCCAACACTAAGCTGCCATTTTTCTTTGTGTTGGAGGATTCACCAACGTGATTATATTACTGATTTTGTGTACGACGTCAGCAGAAAATAAAGCGCGGCGCCCTTATGGAATGAAATCAGATTTTGTGAATGGGCGACAGCAACTTCTCGAGCCTTTTAGTCGGTCATAATAAAAGCCGATCATTCCGATCGGTATGAGGGTGCTTGATTAAAAAAAATGTCTCGATATGTACAATGAATAGCGAACTGGAGAATTTCGCAGTGCATGAAAAAACCTTTTCCGTCTCTTCGGTTTTTTTTTGTTTATCATTTTGTAGTACACAGTGGGTTATTATGGTATGTTAAAATAGAATGATGAGTTGGTGTCCTAAACATTCCGAAAATCTATTTATAGAGGGATGTACTGCTATCGGTAATTGGTCTATTTTGACCGGGATTTACTAGTGACCGGCGAATAGTATCACGGTCTCTCCCGGTTTTGGAGTAGATGTTTGATATCGTTACAGAACAGAACAAATATTTTACAGATAAATAAGCTTTTTTCCAAAATGAATGTTTGTCACTCAGTTTGTTTACAATAATTAATAAACACAGATCAACTCTCAAATTTAGTGATTATTATTATACCTAAACATACAATTTGAAGAAAAAAAACCAACAACAATAGCATGTTTCATTTTATCTATATGAGATAAAAACAATAAATATGTGCAATAATTGAGAAAAAGGTACATTTTTATGGTATTTATATGACACTATCAACTTTGAAACATTTTATTTAATTTGTTATTCGTGTTTAGTAAAGATGCCGAGGAAATATTCAGTTATGTTACAAATTAGATTTTATGAATTATTCAATTGATTGATAATTTAAAAAAAATGATAAAGAAAAATACAAATGTACATGTACATTGTTTAAGAATAAATAATATTATATATTGAAAGATTAAACATAATTTACTGACTTTTTCCAGTTAAGTCATATAATATTATATTCGTCGGTCAATATGACAATTGTATTCTTAAAATTTGTTTTACAATTTTGATAAAAAAAGAGTAGTAAACGTAAAAACTCAGTATCAAAATAGCACATAAAACACAAAAAAGAGAGGAAAACAATATTCATAAAATCTGTATTTTTTATATTAAAATAGATATTACAATTATTGTATAATAAACAATTATGCTCAACATGATCAACATGGTAATATAACCAGTGTCATATTTTTACTAAATGTGAACAGATACCTTAAAGAGGGGGTCTTCTCTAATAGCGATAACATAATAAGAGACAATTCCACAAGTGTGGTGTTGATCATGCGTTACACATATGGATTATAAATGATGGTATATATGTATATCCGTTGCTATTAATAAGCACGATCATAAAGAAATAACAAGTAATATTATAATCTCTAGCATGCCAATCAAAGTTCATAATGAACAATGTCTTTCGTCCGTTGATTCTGGTAAAAACAAATTAACCATTGAAAAGTTTATAAGAATATCTTGTCATCATATGTCTACTAGTTCATCTTCACTGTCTACATTTCTTGCTTGGACGCTCTTTGATGCTTTGCATCAATCCTTTTCTTGTATGTTATTTCAAATAGCTCCTTTACCATGCTGAATGCGATGCACAGTAGCAGCAGAAATATTATGTCACACCTGTTTTACTTGTTTCACAACGTTTCTTTCTGTGAGACATTTTTTTGCTTCAAACGTCTTTAAATAATGCCCTCAACTAAATCATATATTTTTGTTCTAACCATATTGAATTTTCAATTTTACATGAATGAATCGCTTTGCGCGAGTTTATGTAAGCTATAAGAAAGATCTTATAACGTATTTTGATAGTGTTTTACAATAAGTTGAACACCTCTCATATGTGATTATTGCATCATTCATTGTTTGTACGAAAGCCAAATGATCTCCTTCTATTCTTAATTTCCTAATGCAAATACGTTGTGTGTGCACGCGTGCATGTTCATGTGTGTGTGCGCGCGCGCGCGTGCGCGCGTGTGTGTGTGTGTGTGTGTGTGTGTGTGTGTGTTTTACCTTTCCTGAGAATACTTGTTTAATAATGAGAAGAACAATGTGTCGCGTATGTTGGTCAACTCAGAACTGATGATTTATTCTAGACAACTCCTTAACAAAGCTTCCAGAGCATATCCATTGTGATTGGTTGTTATAATTATAAAATTCTGGGTGTTAGTTAATCATGTGAAATTAGATACTATTTATAAACATTAATACATGACTATGAATAAAGGTTGAACACAACTACATTACAGCTAATACGAAACAATACTTATCATTTCATTGATGAAACACTGGCATTAAAATGTATTCACTTTTATTCTTACCTGCATTGTGACACACACTTAATATATTATTGTTTCTCATAAAAAATGATAAATAATAAAATATGTGTCTATGCAACTGTTAATGGGATATTGTAATAATTACCTGTGAGTAATTAAAATATAGTCATCAAGTATAATATATATATATTTTTAAAAAAGGTTTCTTTCATCCATTTTCCTTATACCCTTATACTTATCCATAATTTCCTGTACCATTATACTTATCAATGACTTCTAGTTCCTTTATAATTATCCCTGACTTCTAATTACCTTAAACTTATCCATGACTTAGTAATTTTATACTTATCCATGACTTATAAATAACTTTTGAACGTGAAGCATTGATTTTACTTTAATTAATATCAGACATCTAGGAATGTGTGAGATAGAAAATAAGACCGTTTCTTAAAGTTCAAAATATCAATTTTTCTGGAAATGTTTGTTCATCATGTTCATCATGTTCCACAAACACATATTATCTTATGTATACGATAATTATTATCTTCTAGAGAGGAAAGGTGGATGAAAAAGATTTCAAGGAACAACTCCTGACTATAATGACTCAGCACAGGAATGAACCTGTTGAAGTTGATCTATTTCACTGCTATGTAAGTATTGAATTCCTTAGATTCTCTTCACATGTTATTACCTTCTTAATTATATGTTATAACTTGTTCTGCTTTGAACTTAGAACCTTCCATTGCCAATTGAATGAACTCATAAAAAAACATTAACTTTGAATAGCGATAAGAATCGGGCATCCTGCTTGATTTAAAATGGCTACAGAACGATTGGCATATTGGTTTGTGTGCAAATATCATGGCAAAGGTCTGGCAATAAGTGAATGACACAGGCGAATAAAATCCACTTTAAAAAGACGTTTGCCAATTGTATGCTGTTTGTTGTTGTTGTTTTTAATTTTAGTTTATGAATCTACATTACGGAGAAAACAGCAAGGACCCATTGAGAAAAATTCGCTTCTATGGAAAGGCAGACATAAATCATGCTATTTCGTTAGAAAAAAATCAGGTTTGTTTTATTAAATAATTGAAAAATTAATCGAGTAGCATAATTGTAGCGCAAATATACTTTTATCATAACAACTAATTGTAACTGTACTGAGTAATTGTAACAAATACTTGAGAAATAACATAACTTAACGTGTTGCTATACATTTAAATTGCTTTGCCATTGTCTTAAATATGTGTTAAATGTTACCGCTATTGAATCCTAAAATTAAAACATATATGAAAATGATATGAAACAAATTTTAACATAATTTAAGGTATCATTTGTCCTTCCTGCAACGTTTGCGGAGCAAATTATTCGCATTTACAGCAAAGTCCCAGACACTGATCCTCGGTTCAAGCAAATTGGACAAGCGTTTACCAAGTGGTGTAGGGATAACAACTGTCCAGAACCCAAGGTATGAATATTGTTATAATATCTATAACTAGCCTATATATGTAGCCTGTACTTTACTATCTTGTAAGGTTGAAAGATCGTGAAGTCATTGTTTTCGTTTACAAAAAGTTTCGAGGTTCGAATACTTTATAAAATATTACCTAACCTTGAACAACGATTAATTAAGACTATAAACATTGCGGAAGTCTTGGTTATTTTGAATATTTATTTTATACTTATATCTTTACAGTATTCATATGAACAGAGTAGAGATGAAGTCAATCAACAAGATCAAGTTTTATATGAGCGACCGCAAGAGTAAACAATTAACTAGATAACCCACAGTGAGGCCTCGAGTCTAGCTTTTCTACAGATCTATCCCTTAATTGTTACATTTTTTATTTGTCATTAAATTTATATTTGATGGAGAGATACGAGTGGAGATAGGTACAAACGGAATTAGGTATGCCAAGTTCCAATTCCTGTTATAAGACGAGTGTGAAAGTGTTCTGGACTGACACACTTGACTTGACTTTACTCATTTCTGACGATCTTGCATGTTCAGGTTTCTAGATACCAACCTGGCAGATACTTTTGACTAAATAAATACATTTTCATCGATTAAAGTGTAAATACTTCCATTAGATAAACCGCATTCTTTAGCAAGTTAGGCAACTTTGATTCGACAATTATTAAGCACAAGTTTTTTTTCAACACGGCCGATCATCTCCTGGCTTATGTCATCAGCAGGGCGACCTGGTCTCGAGTCATCTTCTAAGAAGTCTCGCTCACATTTAATCTCTGCTGACCACTTTGCCACTGTATAATACTTTCAAAATTGGTCTAGTTTCACCATACATATTATTTAAAAGGCCTCTTGAAAAAATATTTAAAAAGGTACTGATATTAATGAACTTTTAGAGAAAAACAACTGAGTGGAAACGTATTTCAAAGCACTTGGACAGTTTTTATTTATTTATTTTTTACAAGATTCCATGTTTATCATTGAAATATACCAAAAATGTTGCTAAATGTACGTTATCTTTATGTCATTGTTAATAATCAATTATTATTATCATTCTTATCTCCCTGCAAAATGAAATGATTGTATATAATATATATGATTAGAGTACTCAAATATGAAAACAGACTTGTATGTATATATTCTTTGAAATAAAATCTAGTCTTAGATCCTAAACGGACTTGAGATATTGCCTGACATTTGTGAAATAGGGCTCTGTAGTGACACGTCTACTTCAGAATGTATCAAAATAACGTTATGTATTTCATTTTAAATAGTAAACCGAATACAATGTGTGTTATATTACTGCATTTTTGTAAACGACGATTTTCATTGCATAACCGTGACGTTTATATGAACTTTATACACTGCTTCTGTCAATTTATGAAGAAACTTGTTTTCTCTAATAAAAGAAGTTTTCTGTATTATAAATTCGTTGACTTGTGAAGACCCTTGACAGGTCCTAAATAAAATGTTGTTTGCAATATAACCCTCGATAGGCGGCTTGATACCCTCGCTATTATAAATATACTGTGTTTGAATTACGAAACAGACGACGAGAAAGTTTTTCTGGTAGAACATCACTGGTCTTCGAGTGTCAGGATTATTTCTGATATAATAATAATAGTAGTGGAAGTAGTAATAATAAAAATTCAGTTTGAATCTCCGATAAAATAAATAATTAAAGAACATGTTCCCGTTGAAGTCTAAGATTTTTAAGCGTCAATTTTGAAGCACTGGTTTGTACTGTTTGTGTTACAAGATGGGTTAAAAAGTGACTCTACTAAGTGCGTGTTTGAGTATGATCAATGTTAGATGTCCTTTTTAGTCCAAGAAACAAGTATTATTTTTTGTCCAGTTCTAAATGTGCAAACTCCTGCTGTCTAAAGAATAAATGCCTATATATGTCAAGGTGGCTCAAAACTTCAAGTCGCTGTTGTCGAGTTCTTTGTTGGTAACCGCCGTCTGTGGCTTAATCAAAATATAGCTTAAAATATCCACTCCGTGCTGCACATGTACCTTAAAACCCCGTTTGACACGACTTTGTGCGTGTACTTATAATACTATGAATATCTTCACACCGTACAATCAAATGGACAGACAGCCGTTCGACCGTCGACAGCCGTACCGAATAAATGTCGACACAGAAAACACTTGACGGACAGTAAGTGTTATGGATTCATAGTCAACATCCAAAGGCGCATACAAATGTCTGGCCCTGTGCAAGCTTTACTTCACGTGAATTTTGACTGAAAATAACCACACTTTCCGACGAGATGCGGCATTTTTTTAGTCACAAAAACTTACATTTTCTAATGATAATAAATCCTTTTATCATACGATTCGTAAACGTCAACATTTCGTCATTAAATATTCCAAACCATACCTTCAAAAATGTTTTTTCTGTTAAAATTTAAATAACGTCACCAGCCGTTCGCCTTTTATACGAATCTAAATATTTGTTTCGCTGTTTCTACCTTCACAGAGTTCCAAAAGTCTGAAATGGTCTCCACTGTTGTTTTTTTACCATGACGGGTCTGAAAATATTTTTTTCGGGATTTATGTTCAATTTGATATAGATCTAGACCAGTAACTTATGCGCAAATTTTTAGATCTTTCGCTCAGTCCTTTTTTCCTAAATAATTTAAATAATTGTGTAAAATGACCCAAATTGAAAAGCGTTGCATATCTTTCTGTTAAAGTGCTCCAGCTCATCTATGTAAGAAATTCAAATTTTATGTTTTAAGGCTTTTGGATCTCAATGAAGTTCCTTTATAATGAATTTCTTACAGAGAACACCTGGGGCACTTCAAACGGTAAAATGTAAAATATTGTAAGAAATATAACCAAAATTATATTGAAAATTGTATTTTCTGCGATTACTTTGTAAAAAACGGAGCGAGCGCCTGGTCTGACACTTTGCATTAAAGTGCTTAGTCAAGACCTCCATCAAATGGTACCTAAAACTAAAAAAAAAATCAAATCCAATCATGTCAAAAAATCCCTTTGACACTTACAGGGTATTTAATTACAATTTTCGTTCATTCAAACATGTCAAAAATAGATGGGGATTTCAACGCTTTAAGATTTTAAGCAAATTTATTAAGCACATATTTCATTATCAAACAAGTGTACTTTATAAAGCACATACATAATTATCAAACACTATTCTTTACATAGCATATATTTCATTATCACACACGTGTACTTTATAAAGTACATATTTCATTATCGAACACATGTACTTTATAAAACATATATATTTCATTATCACACACGTGTACTTTATAAAGCATATATTTCATTATCACACACGTGTACATTATTATATTGCATACCTATAAAGCACATATTTCATTATCAAACAAGCGTACTTTATAAAGCAAATTTATAAAGCACATATTTCATTATTAAACAAGTGTACTTTATAAAGCACATACATAATTATCAAACACGTGTTCTTTATATAGCATATATTTCATAATCAAACACATGTACTTTATAAGGCACATATAAAATTATCAAACAGTGCACTTTTATACAGTACATATACAAATATTAAATATGTGCACTTTTATATATTTAATGTATTATTTATATCAGTATTATTTCATGTTTAATGCAAATAATATTGAATTGAATTTAATTATATAGCATTTATTTGTATATATAATTATTGAACACGTGCACTTTTACACAGCACATAATTCATTATCAAACAGGTACACTTTTGTGTAGCACATACTTGTATATAATTATCAAACACAGCACTTTTATACAACACATATATAATTATCAAACACTGTTACACAGAATTTACATGTATATTATCAGATCTATTCTATCACGGGTCTCCTATTGTGTTCTATATTGTGTATAACCAGTACACATTCCTGTCTATCAAAATTACACCCTCTATCAGATCCTACATAGATTTCACGAATCAAATTACTCTAAAATTACAAAAAAACACAGACTTTTACAATGCAATAAAACATGTTCGTAAAAATTCGAAATGTATAAAAAATAAATGAAAAGAAAATAATTTAATAAGTAAAAATAATGTTTTTACAACATAATATAGCTTTTCCAACAAAATGAAATGAAATGCACACAATATGAATACAAAATAAAAACTTTCTATACTTGCAACAGATTGGAATCAAGTGACATAAAGTCAACAATAACCAATAAAACTGGTGAAGTTGTAAAACCAACGAAAAATCAGTCTTAATATAGTGAGAACACAAGAAAGAATAGAATGATTTCACATTTTCATTATTTCCGCAAAATCGTTTTCCTTTAAAACATTTCGGTCACGTGATTCTAAGCGGTTATCGGCAATGTGTGCGCCAAATACGGTTGAGAAGCTTTCAACTATACCAATAACCATTTCCGGCGCTAAATTACAATTTTATTAGTTTTTCTCTACGTTGGTTAACATGTTTTGTTTTTTTTAACTATTATAAAATTGTCATATGAATGAATATATATGTATCAGTATTACATACTCAATAATTGAGATAAGAAACTTGATAACAGAAATAATGAAACATTTGTCTGCCCGAGGATATAAATTGTGAACACATTGAAAATTAATGTACTTGCCTTCACATTACAAAAAAATATCATGAATAGTCATAAGAGACAAAAATGACAAATATAAAATTTTAATAGTCTATATGTGTTTTATTTATTTCGTAGACTGTGCCATCATATCTATGTATTCAATACCGAGGTTTAATACATGTAGACTTTGGTAAATAATTTGAAAAAAAAAGATAAGCACCTGAAAATTTCAAAAATATATACTCAACACAAAAAGTTTAGCCAGTACACAAAGATGATAGGACTGATGTATCGAAGCTGTAAAGAAATAAACAAGAAAACATTTTTCGAAATCAGTAAAGTATCTTCTTTAATTTCATCCACATCAAAACAAAATTCAATCAATTGCAAGAAGTTAATCGTCATTCGCGTCATCTAGGGGTCGAAAGCGAAATTCTAGAGGATGTCAGTAGCGGGTGTGTCCTCCTGCTTTGTTGATGACTGCCAAACAGCGCCTCCTCATGCTGTTGATCAGCCGTCTGATGACTTGGAGTGGAATGTTCAACCATTCCTCATGTAACGCTCGTTCCAGATCCCTCAGGTTGTTGACGTCATTACGTTGACGTACCTTGCGGCCAAGATGGTCCCAGAGGTGCTCTATTGGAGATAAATCCGGGGATCTGGCCGGCCAGTCGAGCACCCGGACGTTGTTTTGCCTCAAGAAGTCCCGTGTTACCCGAGCGGTGTGTGGCCTGGCGTTATCATGCTGCAGGACGTCAGCGTTGCCCTGACGTAGATATGGCAAAACCACTGGCCCAATGATATTGTCACGGTATCCAATAGCATTAAGGTTACCGTTGATTGTTACCAGCTGTGTAGTCCCCGAGTATGATATACCGGTAACACCCCATACCATCACGCTACCGCCTCCATACCGATCTCGCTGTACAATGTTTGAGACGTCAAAACGTTCGCCTTTTCGCCTCCATATCCGAAGTCTTCCGTCAGCTGCCTGCAGATTGAATCTCGATTCATCGGTGAACACCACCCTTGCCCATTGCTGTCTTGTCCAAGCGAGGTATTGCCGGGCCCAGTTTAAACGCGCGCGGCGATGACGTTGCGTTAACGGTACTCCAACCAACGGACGTCTGGACCGTAATGCTGCAGCTCTGAGACGGTTACGAACGGTACCCAACGAAATTCTAGTTCCTGTTGCAGTATGTAAGCGGTTAAACAGTTCAGTGCTAGTCAAAAAACGATTACGTCGCGACGACGTCACCAGGTACCTGTCTTCACGTTGCGTTGTTTTCTTTGGTCTTCCAGAACGCGGTCTATCTTTAACATTGTTTGTTTGTCTGTACCTGGACTGGAGACGGTAAATTATCCGCTCATGCACATGAAAATGGAGTGCGACGTGGTTAACGGTTGATCCACCGTTGAGCATACCGATAGCTATAAGCCTATTGTTTAACGTCATGCCAAGGCGACGTCCCATGACAAAGTTTTAATTTTTTTCTTTAAGAATTCAGGTTTGTATACGAAAACACGTGTTGTACCACTAGTAAAATTAAACTTAGTGACACGGGACTGTGCAAACATGTGGTGCACGTGCATTTTGACGTCTTCGTGAAAAGCGTGCACATTTCAAGAGTACACGATAAAATCAACAAATATTGAATAGCTCAGGCGTTCAGCATGATTACACATGCTAGTATAAATTGCTACTTAATAGCGTGTAGTACATATCACATTATCAAAATACTGACTAAACTTTTTGTTTTGAGTATATATAACAAATGAAATATTCATCTTTCAACAATTTAGCTAGAAAATTACCATAACAGTGTCAGAGTGTCCATGTGACTTGAAATTCACTAGAACAGGAATGTAAAATAACTGAAGCAAAATGGTCCCTTGTAACAATTAAAGTGACAAATCCAGCGCTATGCTTTCTTATAGTTATACTTTGATACATCTTTTTTAAAAAGCCAAATAAAACTTCATTTCACTAAGTAAAAAGTTCTAAAGATTAAGAATATATAAAACAACATCATTATCAAATATCGCATACATGTCTCATAACTTGAAGTGTTAAAGAAAAAATATGAACGTAAAATGCATCACTGTCCATGTATAAAGCATCAATCATAACTAAAATTATGATTTTTTTTATATATATCAATTGACATATCAGTTCTTTTAATGATGTTACATATTATCACCGGCATTGGAGTACGTTGTATCTGTCGCATGCCTATAGAAATAAGATGCCGCGCAGGTAGACTAGATAATGAACTAGCCGTCTTTAAAGAGTTTTTGAGTGATAAGAATGTTATAATGCAATGTCATGACCAGATGCACTTTAAATAATCTAGATAATAAATAACATTTAATTTCATTAAACTATCACAATTCTGTATAAAAAAGTATGAGCAATCAGTTATTTTAGATCACTAACCAGATCATATTAAATTTGTATTGTTGAAACCAAATGTATAAGAACACGACTAAAATGGACGCTAAGAAAGCTTAAAATTAAGCTTCTGGTCACGTGCATGGATATTTCTGTTGGAATAAAGTATACACGTTCACCACTACAAACATTATAGCGGCTCCAATTGCTGAACCCAGTTGAGTGATAGCGCCGCACCATAGTAAACCTTTCCTTCCTTCAAACCTGAATAGTGTTGCTATGGAAACTTTAGTAAAGGTCAAGGTTAGGTACACTACGACGTAAGCAAATACCTGAAAATATAGGTCATAGAAAAAGTTAAGCACTGGTTAGAAAATATATTGTAAAATTATTTAATATACTAATAAAACTGGAGAAGCGATATCAAGCAGTCTCAAATAGTGCTCGATTGAGTGTATTAGGAGTGATAATTTGTTACTTTTTGACTTGGGTTTCGCACCAACACAGTATAGGTCAGGTGGTGATTTTCAAGCTTTACAGATGCCCCTCTGTTGCGCTATTTCAGGCACAAATGGGCCCCGGAGTAGAGCCACAGACTTTCTGTACGCTAAATAGTCGCTAAAGATAGAATCCGAAGACGCTAACGTGGCTCGAACCTACAGCAGTTACAAGCAAGTCGTTTGACGACCTTACCCACTCGACCAAAGACGTCCTTTACTTTTTGACTCTATAGATTTCTGTTCTGAAAACAATATAACATGTAAATTTATCGGTACATAATTGTAATCAAGTATACACATAAACTTCTGTAAGAATGTAAAGTACCTACCACTAAAATGCCACCAGCGCTAGATTCAACAAGTACCGGGGTCGGGCTGCCAGCAGCTAGTACCATAATGTATGCAGACACCAAAGTGCCGACGAGAGAGATCAATCCTATAATTCCGGCAGATCCGACGGGGAGGAAGAATGCAACGAAACACGCTACTGGATTGGCTATGTTTGACAGTGTTACAGCTAGATGATAGGGTTCAGAACCATATGGTAGACATGCGTACGACTGGACGGACGGTAAAATACCATTAGTTAAAGCATTCACCCATGCTATCAAAAATAGAAAGTATAAATAGTCTATGAAAGACATTTTCTTTGTTAAATTTCCATCAACTCCATGTTTTCCTTTAAAATCAATATCTTCTTCACCTGTAGAATCAACAAATTTCTGGGTGCTTGATGCGGTCGTGCTTACGTCAAGCTCATAGGAATTCTTCTTGTTGCTGTCGACGTGTTCAGTTTTGCAATATTGCAAATAATTAAGCATTAGAAATGCTATACCACATGTCAGCATCATTGCAAATATAAACAGAAAGAAATCTTTCACGGGAAATTTGGAGGGCAAGTAAACGGCTTGCACGGAAAACTCGGTAGTGTTGGACGTTGTGTTGACTGAACTAATATTGTGGCATTCAACCTGCCCTACTCCTTGGCCAAGAGCAACTAAACTTGGCACAAGACCGCTAAATCCTTCTCCGATGTAATATGAAGTCATATACCCTGCTTTGAACGTGTTCATGAATGGTAGAAAAACCACAGAAGATGTACAGTCAACCAGTGACAAGAAAAACATGAGAATAAGTAAAGCTGTACTGTGCTCCGTACCACCTACCACCGACGTTTCCATCCAAAAGAACGCAAGAAGCAACGATGCTGTTGCTCCTACGAACACCATTAAAAACACAACGGGTTTCTCATACGACTTCCCAGGTTTCAGGACACTCAAAACTGTGTAAGCTATAGGTCCGATATTAGCGATCTGTATCACCACTGTCATATACGAGGGTAGATTCCAGCCCTCAGGCAGACGATCTACAAGGATAGGTAACTCCACCCATATTCCGTTGATAGCGATCCACGATCCCATTCCAAATAGAACGATTATGATACAGACTAAAAGCTTCACTTCGGAACAACATTTTGCCTCCATATCTGTCACTGCGTTGCTCAAAATGAATTCTCAATAGTGTCTACACAGCGTCTGAGTTACCCAGTTACGTTGGTCGCTAAGCTGTAAAGCAACTAAATATAAAGAAAAGAAACATTTATTAACACTAGCATTAAAAAGCAAAACGTGTGAATGTATGTAGAAATGTAGTAATAAAGATGTTAATTTACTACTATAACCTACAAGATTTAGAAAGGTTACCGATGCAATAAGCATGTTGCAATATGTATCGTTATTATACGGTTAATAAAAAATGATGAAATAAAACATAGCTTCAAAGATCGTGAGATTGGTTTTATGAGCGTGCAGTTAAATTATAATAAATAAATATTGCTTATATAACACTGCAATGCAATAGCCTTAAAGTACCTTATACTTTCTAGACAAAAAAAACAAACATCTGTATTATGTAAATGTCACGTGCACCTAGTATAACTATAGGTATATTTCTTATAAATGATAAACAAAATCAGAAGCAGAGTCTTTAGATGGCCACCACTTTATCAATCCTGCTCTGAACAACAGAATGACATTGATAGAGTGCGCCTTTCATAAATTATATCCATATAGATACCGGTTTAAACCAGACAAAGGCGTAATATCAAACGTTTGGACACCAAATGAATATGATACAGTTTAAAAATCGCATGTAACAAATGCAGCACTTAATACTCGATATTTTATTATTAGATAGCGCTCTAGCTAATGTTGACTATACGAACATTTTTATTAGCACATGAAAGGTTTTATGATTGTAAATTTTACAGTCAATGTTTTCAATGTAAGTGTTTTGCAAAATTTGATTTAAAGTATTAATGTAGTTTTCTGTCAACAAATTTTGTCTAAAAATTCGAACTTATGGAACGTAAGCAGCGACAATAATTTGCCCGAGTCCAAAGTATGGACACAGGCACGAGTATCTGACCTGGGAAGAAAAAAATATGACCAAATTGATAAAAAACACAACCTGTGTTCATCTTAAATGTGTCAAAAACCAAAAATTAATTGTAAAATATGAGCCCCCTTAAAAATATACTATAAGTTACTCACGGTAAGGGGTTGTGAGTGGTTCCACTTAATGTACTAAGTATCATTATTTAGTAAATTCATCAGATTTTGACCCGTACTCGGCTGACGAACATGTGTTAGTTTATGTTTACGTACCGCAATTTTGCCTACCAGGGATTTTTAGCACGAATCAGGAGTTTCCGGCCTTCTCTTAACTTATAGTATATTTTTAAGGGGGCTCATATTTCACATTTTTTTGGTTTTTGACATATTTAAGATAAACACAGGGTTTTTTTACCAATCTGGCCATATTTGTTTCTTCCCAGGTCCGATACTCGTGCCTGTGAGTATGGAGTGCTAGGATGACCAGATTATGAACTTCTATCTGATTAATTTTAGCATGTTGATACAAAACCTCTGACATAATTAATGGGCAGTTCCTAGCTTAAAGCTTATACGTCTTTTTATGCCCCCCAGGGAGGCATAATATGATCGCACCGTCTGTGCGTCCGTCCGTCTGTGCGTCCCCACTTAATTCGTGTCCGGACTGTAACTTTGTCATACATTGAGGGATTTTGAAATAACTTGGCACAAATGTCTACCACATCAAGACGATGTGTCGCGTCCAAGAACCACGTCCCTACCTCAAAGGTCAAGGTCAAACTATCATTTTGAAGTTACACATTGTCGCATTAGAGTAAATAGGTACACTCATTCGTGTCCGACCTGTAACTTTGTCATGCATTGGATGATTTTAAAATAACTAGGCATAAATGTCTACCACATTAATACGATGTGTCGCGTCCAAGAATTACGTCTCTACCTCAAAGGTCAAGGTCACACTATCATTTTGAAGTTTCTCATTATGGCAATTAGAGGAAATAGGTACACACATTTGTGTCCGGACTGTAACTTTGTCATGCATTGAATGATTTTAAAATAACTAAGCATAAATGTCTACCACGTCAAGGAAATGTGTCGCGGCTAAGGCTCATGTCCGTCTGTCCGTGTGTCCCCACTTACACAACAATCATGTCCAGACTGTCACGCATTGAGGGATTTTGAAATAACTTGGCACAAATTTCTATATCATAACAACCTTTTGTCGCGTCCAGGAACCACGTCCCTTCTTCAAATGTCAATGTCACGCTTATATTTTGAAGGTTCGTGCTATCAAGAGCAATATTCAGCAATTAGTTACTTTCATTCTCTTTTCTTTTCATAATACCTGCATGCTTAAGAAACCTTTTCAGAGGCATTCGTCACTTGGATGACAGCTCTTGTTTCAAATCAGCTTTAAAGTGATAATGTATAAATGTATGTGCTGGCAGAGACTTTTAATTATAACAGAATGTAATAACATAAAGCTCCATGGTGCTGGGATTAACAAATATTCAATTAATTTTGATTTAAGGCATTTAGAGAACCCTCTCCCTGCAGCTAAGCAACTCCTGTTTCAAAAACTGTGTCAATTATTATAATTTTAAATTCACAAATTCAATGTCTCAGACTCTGTAATGGAGAATCCTATTTTCCAATTAACATAACTTTACAGAAAAAAACAACTTAGCGGACCCGGGCCGGTTCCAAAATGGTAATGCTAAGTAATACCAGATGAAAAGCAACAGACCTACATGTATATATATACAGTATGCTACAAATGAATTCAATTCAATTTCAATAAAATAGTTTTAATTTGAAAGTTTAAGGTAAAAACAAATAACTTACAGTATGAATAACTTCTTTTAAGATATATCTAAGACTACTTCAATATCTCAAATCTATTGAAAAGTAACTCCACAAGTACACGTACATTATGTATATAAAGTAATTGTGAAGGTTAAACACGTGAACTATGGGTATGAGGTTATGTAAGAATCGCTGTTTTTTTTCTCTGTATCTCCGTAAAATGAGACGTAACGCAATCAGCAAAAACAATATATTTGAATCGAATGGTAAACTTGGAGATCATGAACTTGCAATATGATTCGAAGTTAACTTTAACTTCCTATTAACTATCGATAGGATTAAACTGCTGTGACTTTGTTTACGTGAACACCGCATAGAAAACTACAAGGTCGCTTCTATCAAGGGAAATATTGCATCATACATTAATTCTCATTGAAACGCATTGACAACACTTATAAGGAAGCTTAATTACTTCAAATGAACTTTTTATTTGAAATTTAACAGTAGGAAATCAATGAATTGGCAATCTGACAAATGTCTTTAAAAAAATTGCAAACGTCACAACACATTATTATTACGTTACCGTGAAGCAACTTCCGTATAAACAAGGTGACTGAATTTCGGACAAAATTTACACACATATTCTTTATTTCCTTCAATGTCTTTGCATAAAAAGTCTCCCTTTAAGAATATATTTTAGAACTAAAATGTATTTATTCGTCAAAATATTTCAAAGTAATTCAACGCACTTTCGAGGCAAAAAAAACGTCGAATTCTCTAATATCAGCATGTACATTTTTGCACTCGGCACAAACGGAATCTTTCCATCTGTTTGAAAATCTGTGCTAAATTATTCATTATCATTTTAACTTGTCAGGTTTCTTATAGTTACATTATGTTGTTTGACTTTAATGAGAAGTAAAGTAAGTGCATCTGGGTAAAGGACCAACTTGACCCTTTAACAGTTTAAGCTTAACAATCACTTAATATGAAATTAGGCAAAGCCTATGAACGGGGAAGTCGTTAAAAATTCCTTTCATTCTTTCCGTTTTAAAGGTGTCATTCGGTATTACATGCACCGCTTCCGTTTTCACTCGGAATACTCGACGATTATCTTTTATCCGAAAAGTTGAGATTTGTTCCGTTATCGGAATACCCCGCCTTTTATCATTGAGTTACATTGTAAATGGCGGCGCCCGACTAGAACTGACACTGAAAATTTCATTGATAGGTATAGAATTCTATATATTTTTTAATTGTTTTTTATTTGATTTTCTTTTAAATATACACGTGTAGTCTATAGCCGGGCAAGCCAAAGCCCGGACCCGCTTCGCGGGCCCGGTCTTTGACTTCCCCGTATTATTTCTGATCTCGCGACCCTACAAAAGTAAAAGTGAAGTAGACTTGTCAAAGAGGCATCTACATCTTTACATTTACATCATACTGCTTCAAAATCGTAAACGATTACACTAAGCTGGCACGTTGTCTGGGAATAGCTGTCAAAAACAAATGTGTTAAGTGCAAATTTATAGGTATAAAATAATAAGTTTAAAAAGAACTACAAGACTGCGGTAAAAGCAAAGCTGAATTAGAACAGGTAAAAAGGATACAGCTGACATTGAGATAATTTTGGACGGGTGATGTCTTTGTCCAACAGTTTGACAGTATGAAAAAAAGTTTGTAAAATGGGTCAAACTGTTCACGTTGAATTAATTAGTATATATACGGTTCACTTCCTTTTCGTTAGTACATTATATACAAGTTTTACTTCTGAAATAATACATACTCATAGGTGTCTAATCCTGTAGATTGCCCATCTTAGTCCTACTCCTAGGGTCATCTTGGCTAGGGGTTCAACACAGTAATATTTAATGTGTCATGGTGATATTGAAAGAGTGGCAATATGTTTTGAAATGAGTATTAAATAAATGACTGCTCTTTTTTTATAGTCATGTAGAAAATATTTGGTCTGTTTATAGGAAATGCACTGAGGTCTACAAGCCCAAAAACCATAAACAGTGATAAAATTTGTTGTTGTTTTTCCACAGATCAGCTGGGTCTCTTCAAAGCAGAAAAAATGCAAAGACAATTGATGATTATACCTCAGAAATAAATCCAAAATCATATTTTTATTCTTAGCCCGATTTGCATGAAAAGCGTTGCAACGCCTTTCAATTTTAAGTCTTATGTTACAATTGACAGATGAATGATTTTGGAAAAACGGAATGATAGAATGAGTTGTAATTTGCACACAAGGTATAAGTCTAGAATCATCAAATGAAGTGCTAATCTCAAAAATTATTTCCAGTCTTGTCTTGTCAAGAAAACCTCAGTGGAGTCCCTTTAATCTGTATTGCCATTTAAAAATACTGTGTACAAAAAAGAGATATGAAACATAGATAACTTTAGTAATACCTACAGATTGTAAATTTTTCATTTACAAAAAAAAAAACACATGATTCTTATAAACTTGTAATTGGTAATACAATGTATGAAGGTTGCAAATCCTTTGGAGAAGGCAAGTCATTTAAACAAAATCCAGGGATTGACTTGGAAAAAAAATGTGGTTTTAAACTATTGTCTGTTAGTTAAGTACTGTAGATTTTAAATGTGTCACAATTGACAATGATCAAGTCTGTCTTATCTAGATGATTGTATTTTACTCCCACATATATCTAGATTATACAGACTACAATCTAATGATGACAGTTTACAACTTTACTTCTTATGTCATACTTCCAGTCAAATATTTGAGACAATAAAAAATCATTGTAAGCTTCAATGCCAAGTTAGTTTAAGGACTGAGCTGACCCTGATTCTTGTATCTGTACTACAAAGACAATTAGCCACTTAGATATGCAATGGACAGCTTACTTCAGAGGCAAAGGTGGCATTATTGGAGAATTTTTTTCAATTGAATGATAAGCCTTTTAAGCTACAAGTATATGCAATCCACAAAGGGGAGCATAGACAATTTGATGAAAAAATAGAGCTTAGCCTAATGTTTTGTAGATAAAGGTGAAAAGACCCTAAGGAGATAAAATGTCTGAAACCCATTCTAAGATCTGTTAATTTAGAAAAAAGCACAGTTACTAGATTAATCATGATTTTATTGTTTATTTGTACAGAATGATTGTTTCAGTTAATAGATTATCATGATTTTATTGTTTATTTGTATAGAATGGTTGTGTGATAGTTGGGACTGCAAAATGGCTACTGACTACCTTACCTGCGGTCAGTGTCTGAGAGAGTTTCCTCTGCAATGTATCACTTTGTTTATACAGCATAAGAAACTGGACTGTGATGATGACACTGATATACAAAACCAAGATCCAGGTATGTGCTGTCCTGTTTCGGCGCCTTGTGACCTAAATTGTGTTGGTGCACCATAAAAAAACAACAAAACAACAACAACAAAAATATAAATATATATGACAAGGTTGATTCACAGTAATCATCAGCATGCCACAATAATTTTAATGATCAATACTTAACATATTAAATGTCTTTATTTCTTAAAATTTAATGAATGAACCGCCTTTCTGTCAATAGTTTCAGAGAATTTAATGATTTTCTTTGTCTAAAAACAATTTATGTCTATCACATATACTTTAAAATAATGAAGCCATTAACTGAATACTGTTTTAAAGATGATTTTTAAATAATATTATAAAACTGCAGAATATATTTTATGGTACAGTTCACACAATTTTTATTTTGCAGAACTGAAGTGTAATTATTGCCCGCAGGGTTTTATGACGGCATGGGCTTTACTTGTGCACGCTCAACTCACACACAATCTCAAAATCTTCCTGGAAAAGGCTTCAAAATCTCTACTCAGTCAAGTAAAATTATCATCAATTTCAAATCAAGGTGACTTTAGTCCAAATACTCTGTCTGCTTCAAGTGTCTCCACAAGTGTTGTAGATAACATTGATAGTACCACAATATCTCCTGTAAAGTATATAGAAAACTCAGGGACCAGTCTTTCACCAGAAAAGAATAAAACAGAGGGCCAGTCTACAGTGAGAAATGTTTCACAGCCTGTACTCCCATATTCTAGTCCTGCACAAGGTAAAATGGGCTCAAATATCATAGTGACAAGAAATATTGTAACTGGCTCAAAAGTTGTAGGAGAAAAATCTGAACTTAACCTTGGTGAAGTGAACTCTGAAAAGGTCAACCCTAGTGTTCCTGTAGTTGCAAACACTCAAATAAGCTCAGGGCAGAAGTTTAGTCTTTATCCACTGAACCAGTCCAGTGTCTCTTTACTACCAAAATTAGGTGTTGTACCAGTCAGTGTAACATCTGGTCAGATACAGAGTGGAAACTTTAAAATGTTGCCAGCAGTAATTGGTAGAACGCTAAATCAGACATCATCCGAATCTTTAGTCCACACAACACCAAGTACATTTATGACAATTTTAAAACAAGAGGTATCACCAAGAAATAGTGTAGTTGCTGTTAAGAAACCAGTTTCAGATTGTCAGCAGATGAACTGTAATGAAAGCGCCACTATCTTACTACCAGCTTTGCCTACTGTAGCGTCTGCTTCTCCGCCATCATCAACCAGAATATCTAAACTAGTGACTGACTCAAGCCCAGTTGATATTTGTAAGCCAGTAAAACCAGCTAATAACCAACCACTGGAAAATCAAATGAATGCCAAAGTCAATCTGATTTCTCAGTTTGATTCAGTAAGTGACCGTCCTCAAAATATAAATGAAAAAGAAAGCAGAGACAGTACCTATATGGAAACTGTAGAGGAGGAAACTTCTGCCCCGGAGTGCTGTAACAGCCAGGGATGTGGCGTGACTGTCATACCAGGTTCTCATGAGAATTTACAGGAGTGCTGTAATGCTGTGTTGCCAAAGAAACGAAAGAGGCACATGGAGCAGAAACACATGCCTTTCTCATGGAGTTCTAGTCGCTATGCAAGGAGAAAAATGCTATTCAGGTCAATGTCTTCCAGTGCAGCGAGATCAACAGCATCTCAATCAGTGCCACAATCTACTGCTGGGACTATTTTCATAGATTTAGAGCCAGATTCCTCCAATAGTGGAGAAAAACAAGCAGATGGTCAAGAAGGTACTGCTTTTAAAGTGACACAGTCTGCCAGTCCAGGTGTAAGAATTCTTGGGTCAAATAATGCGACAATTCCAACCACTGGGGTACCAGTCAGCCAGAATAAACCTCATTCATTGATACTCAAACCTGGTGCTGTGTATTCTATACCATTCACATACACTATTCCAACTTCAAAGTCTGCTTCATCAACTATCTTTCCTTTTTCAAAAGGAGCAATGTCATTGGCTAAGCCTTTGACACAGGCTGGATCCAGTGCTACAGCAGCTGATGCACCAGGCTTGTCAATTATCACAACTGAGGATGAGAACCAGTCACATACTACAGGTACTCATGTAGTGGTTTCCGGCCTAGACAGAAGAGTGGAAGGTCAGACAATTCAGAATATCGGAGGTAAGAGGGGATCAAGCTCTAAACCATTCCAGTGTGACAAGTGTACCATGGCATTTAACCAGAGAATACATTTGAAGAAGCATATGAGTAAACACACAGGTATGTCATTATTCCTTACACAAAACAGACATGCTAGAATGGTTCTATTTTTACCAGCGGCAAGGTCAAATTTCTCTGTGACCATTGATATTGAGTCCATTGGTCATTTGTCTGTCACAGCTGATTTTTGTGGAATAAGTACTGTAGTCGTTTTATCGGGGAAAAATTGGAAATAGCTGATTAGTTATCCAAAAAAGCCTGTTAGGAGGTTGACTGCTCCTCAAAAACTACTGGTGCAATTTCATCCAAACTTTACAGGAATGATCCAAGTCTAGTTGTGCATATCATTGGCATATCATGGTTCAATGATATTTTCTTTTATTTTTGAATCAATTTCTGCACTCTGGCCTTTGTATCTTAACAATTTAGACACATCTGCACATTGTCATTCATTTGAAATGCTGAAATATGACCTTGACCCCAAAATTCACTAGACAGTTCTGCATTATGACAAAGCTCAATTGTACAGAACAAAAAAAAAATCTACTGTTAAATTAATGCGGTGGCATAGCATTTGTTATCTTGTTTTGGTTCTTTGATTTTGTCAGAGTTATGGCCCTTTAATGAATTTATTTTTAAAATTTGTCCGGACTACTCCTCTAATGCAATTTCAATGAAACTACAGAATTGATCTGTAGCTCAAATACTTATGCATAATACACAGGTTTTCATGTTACCGTATAAGTGGTTTTTTCTGCGGTGACTTTATTTCTGCGTTTTCTGCGGTCAGTTTCGGCACCGTAGAAATAAAAACCGCAGAATATTTCTCTTACCCTCTACGATATGTATCCTACATTATGGCCTGCTACGTCTAAAGTAATAACGACTAACCGATTATAACGGTTAGCGGGTTTTCAAGTTGTCGGCTGAGTATGTATTTTGTGTTTGTAAGGATGTACTTATTGTCAATGATGCTAATTTAAGAGTAAAGATATTTCAAAACATCCCAACCCTTATACTGCTACATAATCGTTATATAATTTAATTGTAATCTGATTTACGGTAAATTTCTATCAATTTTATTAAATTCAAGATACTAACGGGGTATATTTTTCACACGTCATTTCACGCTGATCAAAGATGTATACCTTTCTATTGTTGTGCATTATGTTTGTTTGCAAGCAAACAATATAATTGCTTTTAATTACTATACAGTTTTGCGGTGACGACGATAAACAAATGCGAACGTGTACATGCAAATATAATAGATAGGGTAATGTGACTTAGACTTTGATAAGACGAGTCGCAGAATTTAAATCACGTTTTGTCACGAATGTGCCGCAGAAATAAAGTCCGCAGAAATAAAAACATGCCAAAATTTAGAAAAACCGCAGAATTTGGAGCCCGCAGAAAAAACCACTTATACGGTATATGATTTTTGGCCAAGTTATGGCCCTTAAAATAAATTGCATTTTGCCCTACTCTGTTAATAATTTTTTTGTCGCCTGCTACTAAGTAGTTGCAATATTCAATTGGCTATCATGAGGCGACACATGTGATCACTGATCACTCTTGTTTTTCAAACTTTGATATACTGCTTAATTACTATAAATATAAACAAGTCTATGTTAACATGAAGTATAATGTTAATTGATAAAAATATAATTAATTTTTATGTTCAATGTAAGAATACTATGGGATTTATATGTACAATTATTGAAATTATTATATCTTATGGCAGGTATAAAACCATATAAATGTGGGGAGTGCAATTATTCAACTGTGGAGAGATCTCATCTTAAAGTGCATATCCGTATACACACTGGTAAGTTATGTTACCTTTTAGCATATCTGTATACACACTGGTAAGTTATGTTAACTTTTAGCATATCTGCATACACACTGGTAAGTTATGTTAACTTTTAGCATATCCTTATACACACTGGTAAGTTATGTTAACTTTTAGCATATCCGTATACACACTGGTAAGTTATGTTAACTTTTAGCATATCCATATACACACTGGTAAGTTATGTTACCTTTTAGCATATTCGTTTACACACTGGTAAGTTATGTTAACTTTTAGCATATCTGTATACACACTGGTAAGTTATGTTAACTTTTAGCATATCTGTATACACACTGGTAAGTTATGTTAACTTTTAGCATATTCGTTTACACACTGGTAAGTTATGTTAACTTTTAGCATATCTGTATACACACTGGTAAGTTATGTTAACTTTTAGCATATCTGTATACACACTGGCAACTTAAGTTAGCTTCTATTTTTTGTGATAAAGACCTTTACATTTGACTAATTTACATGCATATTATGATACATTGGTACGTTTTCTTTAAGAACAAGTATTTTTCATACTCCTAACTGCTATGTTTACGTATGATATCCCTCTAGGGACATTATTTTGGTGTGTGTAAAAACAGAACTGTTTTGACCTAAATATAAATTCTGTTTAATTGTATTTTGTCAGGTGAAAAACCATTTAAATGTACCTACTGTGAGTATGCGACTGCTCAGAATAGTACACTTAAAATACACCTGAAACGTCATCATGGCGGCAAAATGTTCCAGTGCCAGTCCTGTGAGAAACAGTTCACTCAAGAGGAGCAACTCAAGGGACATGAGTGGGAACATGCTTCATCAGGAGCAGCTACTTCCCCTGAACAGAAGGTATACAATAAACTTCTAAAAAAATATATATACACCGTGATTATCCTGAGAATTTGGGTGATTTATCTCAACCAAAATAAAAGGTTGCTGTACTGTAAACTCTCTTACACAGGTACAAGTTGGCAGCATTTTCTCTGAATTCATTGTCTATTAAAAAATTATTATGACAACCATGTTTAATACGTAGTATAGTAGTATATTCTGAATTACTGATTTTTTTCTTCATAATTCTGGTTCTGGGTTTTTACAAGTGCTGCACTTTTATTTTGATTTTTGTATGAAGCTAAAAGCTTATAGGCACACTCAATAAACTTGTAGGTACACTCAATAAGATAATAGGCACACTCAATAAGCTTACAGACAAGCTCAATAAGCTTGTAGGCACACTCAATAAGCTTAAAGGCACACTCAATATGCTTATGGTCACACTTTCCAATATTATTTGCCATCTAAGATATCATTGAAAGTATTGCTTGAATTATTTCAGTCCCCGGATGTCAAATCAGAGGTAAAGGGAACTAGTCAGATGTCTGTAGTACCTTCAGCATCCCAGACAATCACTCCAGCATTGTCAGCCCCATCAGAAACTGTGGCAGCAAGCCCAAAGCAATCGACCAACAACTCTCCACCTCAGACAAGCTTACAGTTGTCATCAGTCAAACATACTACATTGGAAAACATTCAACAGCTCCAAAAACAATCTTCGGCACAAACCAACAGTCAAAATCTTCCTAACAAATCAGCAGCTCAGATTGTCAGCCCTATGTTGTCAACAACAGGAAGTGGAGGTACAAGCTCTCCAGAAAAGGAGGTTTTGGTTTCTCAGCCAGCCAATCAGCTTCAAGAATCAAGTCACATGGACAATCATTCTGAAGAATCAGACAATCCAGTGAAAGAAGCTTAATAATGAGAGATTAGAGAAATAAACTATGTTGGATTCAGTCAATATTAATTAGGGAAAACATAATTACAATATCTTGTCAGTGGTAAGCTTGACATTTTTCTTTCAAACTCATGTATACTGTCACCTTAGTGCAGTAATGGGTTAACATCCTACTACCAGTAACTTATATAAGGAGTTAACCTGTTAGTCCACTAAGATAACAATATATTAATAAATATATATGCATTACATTATACATCATTACAAGAACTTATGAAAGCAAATTGGGTCTATCTTGATAATAAAAAAATTAAAATGCCTATTTTGATAATATGTGTGCCAGTATTTGTGTGGTTGGGGTTATCTTAAGCTAAAAGTGCTTGTATTTATTTTGCTCGGATGTTTTTGTTAAGTTGTTAATTGTAATTTATATATTTAATTTCTGTGATAATTTGGCAATGATTATATATAATGAGCCGCATCACAACAAAACCAACATAGATCGTTTGCGACCAGCATGGATCCAGACCAGCCTGGGCATCCGCGCAGTCTGATCAAGATCCATGCTGTTCGCTTACCAACCCTTTTACAAGTAGAGAAACTGATAGCAAACAGCATGGATCCTGATCAGACTGCCTGAATGTGCAGGCTGGTCTCGATCCATGCTGGTCACAAACGCACTATGTTGGTTTTGTCGTGACCTGGCTCAATTATAATTTTAGTGATATGAGATCAGATATATACATGTATATATATATATATATAGTTGATATTATATATTTAACCTTTATTGTACATTTGATGTAGCTTGTTACAAGTTATTGTCAGAATTATTGGCTTGTTTATTTCATACATGACAGAAGAAATAGATATTACGTTCTTGTAACTATTTGATGCCATATTTATAGTATGATAAATACATGTATAATTTTCGTTGTTATGGAAACTTGCATTTAACCTGATCACTATATTTTTTATGCTTATATGTACAAATGACTGTTTTAATATGTCACTACATGTATTATTAGTTCCTTACTGGTGTTAACAAATTTCTGATTGCTATGGTAACAAAAATATTCTAAATGGTACATTTCTCACTATGCGACAATATTTTAATTATTTAACACAAGACTTCAGAACTTATAGCATTATAGTGACCTCCAGGTCTCCCCAAAACATAAAACATACTTTTATGTCTTGTGCTTTACTGGTAACTACTATTCAAGTGCTTATGGCATTGCATTTGAGATATTTAATTAAATGATTAATTATAAGTTATTAAGACGATAAAGTTCTTTCATGGCAGATTGAATAAATGGCGTTATTGTGAAAGCTGTTTTTAGAGTTGCTGGTTGGAGAGATAATTCCCTCACTAAATCACATATTTTTTGCAATATCTTAATTATCTTCCTGTATATTTGAAATATTGAATCACCTAAACAAAGTTCAGTTCAAGGACTTTACATTATACACTACTAAAATTATGTATGAAAATGGAATCTGGTACTTCTTTAAGGTCCTGAATGAGGTATACAAAACATGGTATTTTTACCCCACAACAGTAGATAAAGTTGACACATAAACTTTTAAGAAAAAAATGACTGGAAAATCAGCATCAATAATTTTTTACATCTTGTATGTTTTATCTATTTTTTTGTTTATATTTAAACAATTTTTCATAAATCTTTCCCAAGTCAGTGGCCTGTGGTCAATACAGTTCTAACTACCTTATTGTAATTTAGTAAAAAGAATGTTTGGAAGCATGTTTTGACTGCGAAAAGTTTACGGTATTTGAAAAACATTAAAAAGTTTACCAAATTATAAAAGTCATCACATCCTGTCCTGCTCCTATAATTCTAGGTAACCATGTGCATGTTTGTTGAAAAACAAAGTAATAATAATTATTTTGATCAAGTGTCGGGGTTATCTATGCGTCATAGTTGTCCCTTCAACCAGTATGTCTCTTTTTAATTTATTAATTTAGTTTTTTTGTTAAAATTACTTATTAAGTAGAATCTTGATTTAAAAACTGTGAAATTTATCAACATGAAACTTTGAACATTTGATTATCATGACAAAACACAGTTTTAAATTAAGAAGAATTGTCCTGAAAGTTATATTTATTTGAGATTTGTCCCTTTTTAGCTCACCTGAGCTTGCTCAGGGTGAGCTTTTAGGATCGTTGAATGTCCGTCATCCGTCCACATTGGTTCGTTAACACTCTAGTGGTCACATTTTTGCCTCAATCATCATCAAACTTTTGCAGGATGCTTGTCTAGGTAATTGCTCGTATGAGTTCGATTATGGGTCATCTCGGATGAAAAACTAGATCACAGGAGCTAAAAATAGAAAAATCTTGTTAACACTCTAGTGGCTACTCGTTTGATCCAAATATGCTGGAAATTGGTTTGAAAGTTTGTTTTGATGACTTCTAGGTCAAGTTAGAATATGGGTCACCTGGGGTCAAAAAACTAGGTCACACCACCCAAATATGGAAAAACCTTGTTAACACTGTAGTGGTCACATTTTTGACTCATTGTCATTAAACTTGGTCAGGATGTTTGTCTAGGTAATTGCTCTGATGAGTTTGATTGGTCAGGTGAGCGATCTATGGCCATCTTGGCCCTTTTGTTTGTTGACATCATTGCCTATTATGTAGAACGATTATAAACTGTGATAGGTTGTAACTTGAAACCCTTTCTTATAATGATAAGGCAAAGGTGTTAAACAAAGGACTTTTTTCTAAAAGTTATTTTTGGAGTAATGCCACTTTTAAAGATTTTTTTTTTTTTTCAAAAATAATTTTTGATATTTGTTACCCTTAACAGTGTTAACACTGCATGCTGTGCTCCTGTTTCTATTTGTTATCATAATACATGTATAAGGTTTAAAGTATGTTCTTATTTTTAAATGTATATTTGTGGTAGATAAATTGATGATGAAATTTAGGATACAAATGAAAAAAAATATCAATATTTATATTTGTGTTCATTTTATTATTGTCAAAACTGCCTGAAACAACCATTTTTAAAACCTCACTAAAATATGACCACCTTTAAATGGAAACATTTGAAATAACACATATGCGTGGGTAACAATATGAAAATACTTCAGATTATTCTAAGGTTGATGGTTAAGTGAAATACGGATTCTTTTTTGGATGTGGTTGGAAATGAATAATTTTTCATTGTCCATAAATTTGTCTTGACCCAGGAAATACAACAGGACAAGTTACATTTACAAAATGATTTCAAGTTTAAAAAGAATGATAGATATTATATTTCAGGGTAAATGTATGAATAACAAATGTTTTGTAAAATATTTACTGTATGTTTTACACATTTTTTGATTTATTGTTTGATATTATATGTGAGCCACTCTATGACAAAACCAACGTAATGCGTTTGCAACCAGCATGGATCCAGACTAGCCTGCGCATCCACGCAGTCTGATCAGGATCCATGCTGTTCGTGATCAGTTTCTCTAATTGTGATAGGGTCTGTAAGTGAACAGGATGTATCCTGATCAGACTATGCGGATGCGCAGGCTGTATCCATGCTGGTCGCAAACGCATTGCGTTGGTTTTGTTTTGACATAGCTCATTATTAGTCCCCTACCGGTTTAACCGGAGGGGACTTTAGGTTTACCCTCCGTCCGTCTGTCCGTCTGTCTGTCTGTCTGTCTGTCAGTCCGTCCGTCCGTCCATAAAACTGGATCCCGCGATAACGCAAAAAGTACTGAAAATATTTTTATGAAACTTGATATATAGATAGATGGCAGTATGGAGATTATGCACGTCTTTTTTTTTTCTTCCTATGTTGAAAATTCTGGTTGCTATGGCAACAAATAGTCTGAAAATATGGCAAATTTAACACATAAACTGGATCCAGTGATAACTCAAAAAGTACTGAAAATATTTTTATGAAACTTGAAATATGGGTAGATGGCAGTCTGGAGATTATGCACATCTTTTTCTTTTCTTCCTATGTTGAAAATTCTGGTTGCTATGGCAACAAATAGCCTGAATTTCAAGATTTCTGATTTAAATTTTTCAGCTTTTTCACTATATGTTCTTTATTTCTTAAGGTGTTTACTTCAAACTTTAAATATAAGTTTCTGGTCATCAACCACATCATATGTGACAAGGTTTATAACTCTAGCACAAAAATATCAGTATTACCTCCCTTGAACTTAGTTTTTTTAGGGGAAAAAATGTTGTCTTTTTTAAATAACTTCTTTATTTCCTAATGTATCTACTTCAAACTTCATATATATGTTTCTTATTATCACTCGACATTTTTGAGAAGGTTAAATACTCTAGCAAGACTATTTCCAGAATTATGTCCCCCTTGAACTTAGATTTTTTTCGAGAAACTGGTATTTTCACTCCAACTTCTTCATTCCTTATAGGATTTACTTTAAAATCCCACATCGTAATAATATGACAAGGTTGTACATGTATAAACATAATTTCCTTAATAAGCATGGAAACTTAACACATTACTGTGATATAGACAAACTTATTTTATTATGTTTTGTGGTCGATATTTTCAAATACAGACTTCATCCTCAAATTCATTATAAATGGCAATACACAGGAGTGTATGACAATTAAAGAACTTTTTGAGGGACCGGTAGGGGACTACTGTATTGCCCGCAATACTATCAAATGCTTGTTATTATAAGGGTAACCATACTTTAAACCCATAGCTTGTCGCAAGTGAATTTACTCATGTGACCAGTTCAGAGCAAAACCAGCTGTTCAATCACTCTTTATTTTGAAAATTTCCCTAAAATTGATGAATGGTTTTGTCCAAATTGAAGATGGACAAGTTCATTTAAGATATAAAGCAGGGTAACCATACCTTTAACATGATGAATTTAACATTTTTCTTGATAAATTTATACTAAGATTAGTTATGCTTTATATTTTGATGGTATCGGTGAATGTTTGAGGTATTGTGGTGTCGGAACGTTAGAGCAACTACGGGAACTAGGGAAGTTTAGTTAGGGGCATGTACTGGCAAGAAATTGTTTTTGATCTGGATTGTCAGTGGTGCATTTTATTTTTGCATATATTTAGCACAATAAAGATGTTCACTTTTTGAAGAAAAAAGTAAAGGTATTAAAATGACCAACTCATTATACCCCCAAAAACGAAGTTTGAGGGGGTATATAGGAGTCACCCGGTGGTCGGTCGGGCGGTCGGTCGGTCCAGACGTCCGTTGCATTTTCCTTGTCCGGACCATAACTTGGAGACTAATGGTTGGAATTCAATATAACTACATACAATGGTCAAGCACATTGAGAGGAAGTGCAGTGCACAAGAACCATAACTCTATCGTGACTAATTACAGAGTTATTGCCCTTTGTTACTTTTCCGTGTTCGGGGCATAACTTGAAAACTACTGGTTGGAATTCAAAACAACTTCATACAATTGTCAAACACAATAAGGGGAAGTGCAGTATACAAGAACCATAACTCTATCTAAAGTAATTACAGAGTTATTGCCCTTTGTTACTTTTCCATTGCTTTCTTTTGTCCGGACCATAACTTGAAGACTAATGGTTGGAATTCAATATAACTACATACAATGGTCAAGCACA